CTTGACTTGGTGTTGTCAGCACCACGCTCACCCAGTGAGCCACGGGCCGGCCCCAGAATTCTTTTCATCTTGCAAAACTGAAACTCTGTACCCGTTATTAAACACTAACTCCCCACTCCTGCCTCTCCCCAGCCCCTGGCAACCACCATTCTACTTTCTGTCCCTATGAATTTGACTCCCCGAGAAAGAACCTCATAAAAGTGGAACATGCAATATTTGTCTTTTTATGACTAGCTTATTTCACTTAGTACAATGCCCTCAAGGTTCATCCATGTTGTAGCATGTGCCAGAATTTCCTCCCTTTTAAGGGTGGATAATATTCCATTGTATTATAGACCACATTTTCTTCGTCCGTTCATCCACTAATGGACGCTTGGTTTGCTGTGCCCATGTTCTTAAATACTGCCCTTTACTACTTCTCACAGTATGGTTTCACCTACACAAGCGAGAAACCATTATCCAATAACAATGAGAAAATGTAGATGAACAAAACGTGGAAAACACTCTACCTGGCAAAGACCCTACACAGAATATTATAGTGTCGTTGTTTTTTTTTTTTTATAACTCTAAAAATATACAAGTGAGTATAACTTAAAAGAGAGAGAGAGAATCAGGGCTGGCGGGTGAGCTTAGTTGGTGAGAGCGTGCTGTTGATAACATCAAAGGGTTTGGATCCTTCCCACTGGTGAGCCGCCAAAAAAAAAAAAAAAAAAAAAGACTTAAAAGAGAGAGAGAGAATCAGGGCTGGCGGGTGAGCTTAGTTGGTGAGAGCGTGCTGTTGATAACATCAAAGGGTTTGGATCCTTCCCACTGGTGAGCCGCCAAAAAAAAAAAAAAAGAGAGAATCAGTCTTGTGCTTCACTCCACAGCCTGCTTTCCCTCCACTGTATTGGAGGTAAATGAAGGAACTCATAGAATTTCTTAAACTTTTAAGCCCTATGAAGCTGTGTTCTGAATCTTTCCAGAGACAAGTACAGATGAATTAAACTTGACTGTTCTTGTCAGGGGATCTATGAGGGCAGGAACCTTGTCTGTCTTGTCACCGAATTCCCAGTGTCTAGCTTGGTGTCTGGGATATAGTAGGTTCTAAATAACTGTTGAAGGGAGTGACTGACCACTAACCTACTGATGGACATTGAAGTTGATTTTATTTGCTTCTAGTATCTTACGAGTGGAGAGAGACAAGGCTGTAAGGAACATTTTCCTGTGTGTGTTTCTTTCTGAATGATCAATTATTCCCTTAGCATAAATTCTTACAAGGAAAATGGCTAGGTCAAGGATATGCACAGATGATGGTTTTGCTACAGATTGCTGAATGACCTTTTAGGAGCGCTGTACTAATTTGACACTTCCACCAGCAGAGTATGCGTACATGTTTTCCCACATCCTTGCCATCACTGGGTATTATTGATTTCATTCTGCCAATCTGATAACTGAAAAAAATTATCTCATCATTGTTTTAATGAGCACTTCTTTGATACTCATTAAAGCTGAGTAGTTTCTTGTGTGAGTTGACTTTCTTTGCAAATTGCTTATCATGTTCTTTGCCTGTGTTCCCCTCTTTCTATTGGGGGTGAGCCTTTTTTAAAAAATTAATTATTGATTCATAAAAGTTCTTTACATATTAAGGATGCTAACTCTTTGTGATTTGGGTTAGTAAAAGAAGCCAGAGGTTGAGGGAGGGGAAATCATGGTCCAAGGTATACATCTAGAAGAGATGGAGTAGGGATTTGAAACAAGATCAGTCTAGATCCATGTCTGGAGTTCTTTACCACAGCCCTTACGGCCCCTTCCACCTTCCCAGGCCTCACTTTCTCTGCCGCCCAGGAGCCCTTAGTTCCGTCAATCTCAGAAAGGGGAAGGTCCTCTCACCAGACCCAACCATCTTTGCTACATCCCCAACAGCAAACCTTTTCTTTGTTTTGTCGTGTGGATTAAATGAGATATTTAGCCACTGCTCAGTACAATATATGGCAAATACTAGGGACTCAGTAAATAGTAGCTGACATTATTTTTTATTTTTATTCCTTTCTCTCTTTTTTATTTTTTGTTGTTTTATAGTGGTTGGCTGGCATGGGGAACTGAACCCTTGACCTTGGTGTTACAAGGCTGTGCTCTAACCAACTGAGCTAACCGGCCAGCCCTTATTCTCTTCTCTTTAGCCACATCTCTTGCCTGTTGCCTCCTGTTTCAAGTCACCCTCTTACTATCCCAAACAATCTGTTACTCCCCAAGCAACTTGCCTCATGAAGCCTAGCCTTTGCATATGCTGTTACATCTATCTATGTTACCCCTCTCCACTCAGTCCACTTGAAGAGCTCCTACTCATCCTTCAAAACCCTATAGATTTTCCCCTCTCTGGGAAGTCTTCCCTAACTCCTAGGCTATGTCTCCATTTACAGATCCTGGACCCAGGGTTGTGTCTACACATCCTGTGCCTGGAACCAAAGCACACAGTTTTCAGGGCACTACAAAAGCAAGATACATTTCTTCAAAACCAAAACCAGAACCAAAAAAACATTAGCTCCAAACTGGGCAAGTTATGAAGCCAAGAGAACACATTTCATTCTATGTCTACAAAACGAAATATTACATCAACTTTATTAAATGTCAAAGCCAATATTCAGAAATCTTTTGGGACACTTGGAAACAATTTATTAGTCAGGTATTTCCCACTTCGTAAGAATTCTCAAGTATGCCTGTTGATTGCTGACAAACTGGATTCAGTCATAAATCAAACGAGCTACTTGTGGTCAAATAATTTCCAAAACAAAATAATAAAATATCTTTTCAGTGTTCTTTTTTATTTCATTTTTTCATTTTGATCAGCTTTATTGTGGTATTACTTACATCCAAGAAACTTCACTATTTTTAAGTGAACACATTGATGAATTTTGACAAGTGTATAACCATTATTATGATCAAGATAGAGGTTATTTTCAAAATCTCAGAAAGTTACTTTTGCAATAATTCTGTCTCCCACGCCCTCTGCCCCTGGAAGCTCCTGATCTGCTTCTTTCACAACAGCTTTGTCTTTTCTAGAATGTTATATAACTGGAATCATACAGCTTGTAGTCCTTTGTGTCTGGTTCCTTTCACCCAGGAGAATGATTTGGAGGTTCATCTGTGTTGTCACAACTATCAGCAGTTTGTTCCTTTTTATTGTTGTTTATTGTAATTGTATGAATTTGCCGTAATTGCTTATCTATTCAACTGTTAACATTTTGGTTGTTTCCAGCTTTTGGCTGGGATGAGTAAAGCTCTTATGATCATTCATATATATAAGTCTTTGTGTGGACATATATTCTTATTTCTCTTGGTTAAATATCTAGGAGTGAGTTTGCCGGGTCCTAGCATCTCTCCCCACCTCCATCAAACTTTCATTTTTTTATCTTTTTTTTTTTGGCAGCTGGCCCATACGGGCATCTGAACCCTTGACTTTGGTGTTATAACACCGAAAAAATTTTTTTTTTAAATTTATTTTTTAAATAGATATATATTTGTAAATATTTAAAAGTTGTATATATTTAGGGTGTACAACATGATGTTTTGATATAAATATACATTGTAGAATGGTTAAATCAAGCTATTAAACATGCGCACGCGGGGCTAGCACATATTTATATTTTCGTGGTTAGAACATGTAAAATCCACTCAGCAATTTTCAAATATACAATATATTCTTATTAACTATAGGCACCTTGTTGTACAGTAGACCTCTTGAACTTATTCCTCCTGTCTAACTGAAATTTTGTGTCCTTTGACGATTTAAAAGTTTTTATTTATTTATTCTTTTTCTAGGAGTTTCTTATGGCCATTTTTTAAAATAACAGAAGCCCCAAACACAACAAAACATAATGTGGGATGTGGTCTGAATATGTTTGAATATTTTGAGGTGGTGAGTGATTTAGGACTACAAAGGTCTTAAAATAGCCCTTCCTGCCTGTGTAACGTCCATTATAGCAGGACTCAGATGATGACAACTTGTATGATGGGGAAGAAAACTTACTCCTGGTTAGGGGGATCTTCTCTGCATTTCCAGTGTTGCCAACTCCTGGAAGCTTAGGAAATGTTAGGGGTTGGAGGTGGGGATCAGGTATAATCGCTCAGCGGAGGTGAGCTGAGCCAGAGAGGGGGTGCAGGTGCCCAGAAGTCTATTCCAGTTTGGTGGGGGCGACAAACGCCAACAGGTAAGTGCAGGACAGTCTGTGATACTCAATCTAAGAGAGGTGGCACGGGCAGAGTACAGGAAGACCTCTGTACGGATTTGAGATGGGAAAGAGCCTCTTTGGGCCCCTGGGGCAGGTAGAAAGAAGGAGCTGGGGCGGGTGCTACCTGCAGCGCCAGTGGCTCCATGCCATCTCTTGTCTCTAAAGTTACAGGGTGGACAGGAACCCCGGGAACCCCGGAGTCAGCCCCTCCCACTACTCCCCTCCCTGACTCAGGAATTCAGGCCCCCAGCCCCTCCTCTCTCAGACCCAGGAGTGCAGGCCCCCAGACCCACCTCCCTCAAGATCCCAGGAGTTTGGGTACCCCCAGGGCTAGCAGGCCTTGGTTTCTGAACATCAACATTATCGAATGCTCCCACAGAGTTTTTGAAGAAGGTACTATTGGTAAACATAGTTTTAGGTGAGGAAACAGGCTGATATATCTGAAGAGCCCACAGAGGGTCGCAGCCTGGAAGCAGCACCTGTGGGATCCCGACACTCTCCGGAACTGCGCCGCGCCTTATCAAGAGCGATGTGACGTCATTCGAACGGGCACGTTGGCCCCGCCCCCAAGATGCGGCCCAGCCCCCGGCTCTTGAAACTACGATCCCCAGCTGTAAAAGCCGTAGGTGCCCATCACCGTAGGCCCCGCCCCCAGGCTCCGTGCCACGCCCCCTCACGGGATTCTTCAGGAAACCATCGGCCCTGCTGCGCCTGCGCCTCCCCGCGCGTGGCTCCCAGGGAAGCTCCTTCTCTGAGCGGCTCCGTAGCCGACCCCGCTCCCTGGTCGCTATGAGCCGCTACCTGCTACCGCTGTCCGTGCTGGGCACAGCGGTGGGTGGCGCCGTGCTGCTCAAGTGAGTATGTGCTAGCCCCGCGTGCGCTGCAATGGCGGGTTGGTTGGCAGCGGGGGAGGGAGGGAAGAAGGCTCGGGAAAGGTCACCAACTCCTCGCCGACCCCGGGAGTCCTTCAGCTCACCCGGCCCGCGGTGCCCTTCCAGAATGTGAGAGGCACACCAGGCCTCGGACAGGGCCTGTCACCGGCCCAAGGTCATCCAGAGGAGGGGCTGGGTCTGGGTTCTTGTAAACATTTTGGTTTACTCTTTCCGGACTTTTAATAGATTAATTAATTAATTAATTCAGCAAATACTTATTGAGCCCTTCTCGTATGTTACATGCTGGCCTAGGTGCCAGGAAAATGTGTTAAAAAAAATTGTTCAGTGCCACTGGTTAAAGCACGGTAAGGAAGACTTTATATCAGGACCATCAAAATATGTCCGGGGACCACGGCGGTGAGGAAGCGATATCGGGCTTCACTCCGAATACAGCTGGGCCTGTGGGGCCTTATAGCCACGGAGCAGGGTGGGGTCAGTGGGTGGAAAATTACAAACAGGAAACATCGGGGTAAGGGGGATTTTGGCTAAACTAACCTAGCAAGATTCTCGCTGAAGACAGGCCAGAGTGATTAGATGTCACCTCAGGATGGTGGCAGATGAGAGATCTGATCAGACATAGAGTGTGATCAGATATGGGGTGGGGTGGGGTGTTCTTGCTAAACTGACCAAAAGTGTTCTTTTGCTAAGACTTGCTTCTGCTAGGAAGTACACAGGTCAGGAGCCTGATTAATGTTTGGCCACGCCTTTCAAAGAATCTTTGTCAAATGTATGCCGCCTAAACTCTCGTTAACTGAAATTAAAGAAGCAAATGTGGGAAATCCTATTACATGAGACATGTTCATATACATTTTGTGTTTCTGTTTTCCTTTCTCCCTCCCTTCCTTCCTCTCTCGTGTCTTTCTTTCCTTTACTGAGAAAGTTGGGATTACACTGAATGTGCAGATTAGTAATAACCATTTATTCTGCACTTGGGGAAAATTCCTTTCAATGTTAGCTGGTGAGTGGGAAGCCCAGGTGGAACTCAAGCATGTCTGACTTAAGAACCCCCAAGTCTTTCTGCCACTGTGTACAGACCCTCCCTATCTGGACGTTTTGCACCCACAGATTCAATCAACTGGAGATCAAAAATATTTTTAAAGGGCCGGCCCAGTGGCGCACTGCTACAGTGCGCCGCTTGGGAAGTGCGGCGGCGCTCCCGCCGAGGGTTCGGATCCCACATACAGAC